AGACCCGCCCGCCGCCGCCGCGCAAGGCCTAGCTCGGCTGTCAGTCTGGCGGCGGTGCGCGCCGATTGGGCCGGCCGCCGCCGGGGAGCGGGGGCAGCACGTTGGGATGCGCGCTACTTAAGGTCCAGCTGCGTGAGCCATTGACGTGTTTGGAGCTGGAGACGGCCTGGGCGCAGGAGAAGCGGTCGCTCGAGGTGAGTGGTCCCCCGCCCCTCCCTCAGCGGCTTCTGAGGGGTTGCGGGAAGAGAGGGGCTCAGCCGGGCCGCCGCGGGGCCCGAATCCACCTCTTCGGCGTGGAGTCGCTTCCACCAGGCCTTGTCTCCGTGCGGGCCCCTTCCCGTCGCTCCTCCTCCCCGCGACACGGGTTTATTCGGGCCGGGGGCGTGGAAGGTGACCTCTGCCAGGGCACCCCTACGTCTTCCTTCACTCTCCTTCCCAGCCTTTGAAGCCTAATTGCCTGCGCGTACCCAGTTTACTGCATTTTCTTCGCCCCCGACCCTCTTGGCACCGCAGAAGGTCGAAGCAAGGTGTGTTCACCTGTGCCCGCCGTCCACCGTTAGACGGACAGGCAGCATCGCGGCGGGCGGCCAGGCCTCGGACTCGCATCTCTCCGGTTTCTCCACTGGGCTTCCCCGCACCCCTCCGGTGTGCCACCCTGACTTCCTGACCCTGCCTCTCTGCACCCAGCAGTGGGTTAAGGGCTTGAGGTTCTCGCATGACGTGTTTCAGCTTCCCGATAGTTGCATCTGCGTTTTATGAGAGCCCCAGACTGCCTCGGCTCTGACCAGCAAGTGGACACGGACGTGTTCAGTAACGTTCCCTTCCCCCTTCCCTTTCAAAGCTATTTGGAGAGTGAGGACGTGAACAACGGGATGGGAAATCAAGAAATACTTTTTTAAGCAGTTTGCCCTTTGGATGAGATTTTAGAGTTGTTTCTCAAACGTGCTGTGCTTTTGCGGGCCTTCCTTCAAGGCTTCCTGGCCGTCCTCTGCCAGTAGAGCTTTGTAATATTTGTTTAGTACCTTCAGAAAGTAGTAGATAAGGCCTCTCTAGCGGAACACTCGATCTTGCCCTTCAGCCTCGGTCCTCACTGCAAATTGACATTTCCTCTTCATTTCCAGTTAATATGTGAGGATTTATGTGAAGAAGGTGACATTTGGAAATTCAAACTTAGACTGACTTGTTTTTAGAATCCGAAAGGGAAAGGAAATCAAATGTGGATAAACTCATGCTGCAAATCTGATTCAGGTATATGTGATGTTACAGGTGTTATTTTTCAAAAATTCGTGGCTGATGATGCTAATAAAATGCAGAGTAGAATACTTTCATGTAAGGCATGCAACCTGAGTTTTGTCTGTGTCTGATCATTGTTGAGATTATATGCAAGGAATGTGAACAGCTAAGCAGGATTCTGTGTTCTCACATCACAGGATACATGTGAAAGAGAAGACTGTGAGTTTACTGAGTACCATCATCTCTCTTAGGAAGAAGTCAGGCCTGCAAAAGAATTGTGTTCAGGAGAGGAAGAAGCTTTTAGATTAGAATTAAATAGCATCTTGAATTTCCTTTTTGTTACGATGTTTCTGTTAGATAGGTATATTCATGTATTGTTCAATAAAAATCATAAAATAAAAGGATTGCTTAGTGGGTGCTAAAAGTTAAAGGACTCCAGAATGCCTAAACTTTTTTCCATCTGTCTTTGCAAAGGTTGATCTCCTTTAGCCTGGACATCCTGATCTTTCCCATAAGAGAAACTGAACTAGGTGACTCTTGACTGAGAATACTTCCACTTTTCAGGAGCTTGTGGGATTTGATTGTTTTTCCTGAATGTACTTTATTTCTTTTTTTGTGTGTGTGTGAGGAGATCAGCCCTGAGCTAACATCCATGCCAATCCTCCTCTCTCTGCTGAGGAAGACTCACCCTGAGCCAGCTGATCTTCCTCCACTTTATGTGGGGCGCCGCCACCAGCATGGCCTGACAAGCGGTGCATCAGTGCGCTCCCGGGATCCGAACCCCGGCCACCAGCGGCGGAGTGTGTGCACTTAACCACTACACCACGGGGCTGGCCCTGTACTTTATTTCCTTTAACGTGACTGATACTTTTTTGATGGTCCTATCTTGGGCAAGGAAAGTAGAAACCATTTCATACAAAAGTTCTGACCTCTGTCTAGTTATACTGACTGATACTGTTTTTTATTCAGTGGCATTTTGTAGGTCACGCTACCTTATTTGCTGGCTTCTTCCCTCTTCAGGTGGAAGATGATTAAGCTAGAACAGGCTTTGAGAGTACAAGTTAAATCGACTCCGTAAACTTAGTGCAGACCATTTAAAAATATTTATGGGTGGCTCATCAATTGTATAGCAATACAGAAACAAAAAAATCACTTTGAAATAATTAACAGTTAGTTGACTCTTGGTTTTTTTATTTTCTCTTTTAGTTCCTTTCTATGACATGTCTTTGAAGATAATATGCATACTGATTTCAGTTAAACTCTGTTATAGAGAGCAGTTGTCCTGGGATGTAGTTGACATACCTATTGTATGAGTATATGACTTGACTTGGAATCACTAATTGGCTCTTAGGGAACTGTGATCATCTTTAATCAATAAAGACTTCTATAGAGCTATATCTATAAGGCTTGAGTTGGAAGATTAATGAACCACGGTAGCATTCCCTCACTTCCTTCAACCCAGGGAAGTATCAATTAAATAGAACCTGCCACTGGAAGTAAACTTTCAATTTTTTTTTTTAACTTTTCGAAATGTTAACTAAGCAAAACTTGGTTATTTGGTATATTGGCCACCCCAGTGCTGGCCACAGAGTAGGCATTCAGATACTTTAGTTAACAAATGTTTTTGCTCAAGTTAGGTTGTACTAAGTTATTCCATGCTTATTTTGTATGCCAATCAATGGATAATAAGGAAGTAATCCTTAGACTGCATGCTGTTTTCTTAGGTTTTGTTAGTACTAAATGTATTTGACCTTTAGAAATAAGAATAAACTAAAACTGAATTATAGCTGAATTATCTTTCTTTCTGGACGTTATAATCAAATTTTAGTAGCTGCATTTAAATATGGTCTTTGTGCTGAGGGACCATGGCAGTGCAAAGGAAAAACACATCCGAGTCTTTATTCTCAAAATACAGAGGAAACATGAAGTTCCTCACTAGATAATCATTATGCCAAAATTAATTTTTCAGGTACTTAGGGAGCTAATGAGATTTATTGATTTATTTTCTATCATGCACTGTATAACTCTTTTCTCCAACATCTGCCTGCAGTAAGAAGACTGTTAGGATGCCCATGGTCACACGGAAGCTGAGAGATCCTGACATAAATCCTTGCTTGTCGGTAAGGTGGTTTACTTTTAATTTTCATGAGTGTTAAGTTGGAAAAACAGGCTGCTTCTGATTTTGTGGTCATCTGTTTTCTGCAGTTCTTGAATAAAGTTATTTCTTACAAAAAATATTCCTGGCCAGCGTATCCTTATTTCACTAGAGCATTTTTAGATATTCATAATTTAGCTAACAAAGATTCACCTCTTTTAAGTTTCCCTTATTTGTATAATATGCAAGCATTTAGTTGTCACTGTAATACTAGACAGGCATACGAATCGCTGAGGAAAATCTTTAGTCGAAACATGGCAAGTTGGGAAGTATGGTATTTTTAAACTGTCACTGAAATTTATGTTTTAATAGCAATAATTTCATCATGTCTTTGAGACAACCTGGCTGAGGATAAGGGTCTCATAATAGAATTAGCCTATTTAAAGCCTAAAGGTTTTCACAAATATAAACAAAATATTTTGTTGTAATAATAAGCTCTTATTGGCATTTATTTGGTATGACTATCAATACTTGTGGCTTTGTCACCCTTGAACAGTGCAGTCATCTGACTGGTGCTATGAAAATTATTGTCCCTGATCCTATATGCATTTTCCAAATTTACACACTCATTAGATATTTGTCATAGGAATTTTGCTTTTTCTGTGTATTAAATCCATTTTTGACAGCTTTATTAAGTCTCTTTAGATAGACCATGTTAGATCTATGAAGCAAATTACCTACCCCTCCAGTTAAAGCTTTCCTTTAGATGACCCCTCAGAATCATACCTTTCCCTTTGAAGTTTTTTATCCAATCTACTTCCAGTTCAGACAGGTTAAATTTAACTCCCCAATGGCAGCTACCGTCCTTTGAACTCATAGCCCTGTGTTACTCACTTTGGTTTTGAAGTGGTATTAATGATATCTATTAAAATGGCTTACATAATAGTGTATTTACTTGCGTTAGGGAGTGGATGATAGCCAAAACTACATGGAGATGAATGGTGTTAATTTAAGTTGCCTTGATGTAGACTGGTTATGAGTGACTTACTGAGGATCTCGAAACCAGCTTAACATCAAACATCACAGTCACAGTGGGAACTTGGGGGAGCAGACGTGCTGCGCTGTGAGTTGGGGACGGGTCTTGACTCTCATTGAGCAGCAGTGAGTTTGAGCACAGTGCACCTTGCTTCAGCTTCTTTGTTACGTGATTACTGGGATAAATGATCTCAGTGCTCCGGCTCACATTCCTGGGATCAGATATTCAGAAAACTGACCCAGATTATGAAAAGGAAGATGTCTGCTCTGAGGAGAATGAATGCTGGGGTAGTTGGAAAGATAATTCAATTTTTGTTCATTATATGTTCGTTAAAATGAACAAAAAGGAACTTGCATATTATCTGCTTTGGGGGGGAAATAGCTTCAGAAGTTTGTTTTTTTTTTAGATCCCATTCCACCTCTTAAATGATGTCTATCTTACATATTTAAGGAATCTGATGCTTCTACCAGATGTATGAATGAAAATAACTATGACAAGGAAAGCTGTTCCACTTACTTCTTGAAGTACAAAAACTGCCGGAAATTCTGGGTAAGCCTAGCTTGTTTAGCTTTGTGTTAAAACTTAGGCTTGAATCCGAAGCCTGAAATTAGTCAGTACCCACAGTCCTTCCTTTGGGATGGCTCTAGGGAACTTCACTTTTGACTTGATCCTCTGTGTGCCTTAAAGGATCCTTGAGAGCTCTTGTTAGCTGCTTCATCCTACTCCGAGGTATAAGAGTGCAGTTCTAGCATAGTTGGGTCTTCCTGGGTATAGAACTATCTGCAGCCCTAAAACAATAACTTGGTTATAATTTTAGTTTTCCTGGAGGTGAACAGAGTGGATAACTTGCTGTGTCATAACGTGTAGTGGGCTTTCATTTCTTCCTTCTCTCCCACTGCCATCCATGGTAGTTAAAATGGTCCCATGTTTCTTGAGACATTACTTTGTAATTTCTGTTTCTCTGAGCACTGGATCCAGCTATTTCCTTTCCCTCTGCTAAATTAACTGTTGGTTTTGTTTAGCAGTTACTCAGTGGCTCCTCTTGATGGACTGTACTTTCATGCTCTTGTAGTTAAACAATATATCCCCGTCCCAATTACTGTTAACATATTCCCATGGGAATAATCTCGTCTATTTAACTGTTAATAGTTTGAAAACATTATCTGGAGTCCTAGAATTAGGTTTCTTGTTTTTTTAAAACTTGGTTTTTAGAATTTCCTTTTTGAGGAAGCAATAGCAAATTGCTGGCAAATGATTAGAATTTAATACATGGCTGATTTTGGTTTCTTCTTTGTTTATACCTACACACAGAATTCTATCATGGTCCAGAGAAGACAGAATGGAGTGAAGCCATCTATGCCTACAGCAGCAGAAAGAGACGAAATCTTGGGAGCAATGGGAAAGATGCCCTATTGAATGTTTGCATTAAAATTGTTTATTTAACTTAGAAGCAGATGAATATTTTAAATAAATGATTACTGTAATCTTTTAAGACCTTACAGGCGTTACCCAGACAGATCTTCAGTTCTACAGGGGAGACAAAATTACGTTAGCCCTGTGTCCTTTGTGTTTGCTCTCAGTGCCGTGATGAGGGTATGCCACTGCTGGCTGTGCTGTGTCACTGAGTTTATATTACTTGCTGAAGGAAAGGGAGCGTTGGGAAAGGCTACATGAAGAGTTCTGCTGGGTCTCAAAAGAAAAGATGTGAGCAAGTAAGGACTTAATGGGGGTGAAAGGAAGGCAGTGTTCCTAAGGAAGGGAAATGATGTGGGCAACAACATGGTGGAAGGAAAGCTCGAGCCACCTCGGGAGAGTAGTCTGTAGACTGTTCCGCCTAGACTTTAAGGTGGGTAGAGGAGTGGAGGAAGAGAAGACTGGGAAGGTAGATGTGTAGTGGACCTCAAATCCCAGGCTCATTACTGAGATCTCTTTCCTTACCTCACTTATCCTTGTTTAATTAGGTTAGTATATTCACTAGGTGGTGGGGCAGGGGTGTGGGAAGGTTGTCTTAAATAAATGGCAGCAAAAGAACTGGTTTTCTTTATTTTCTTCCTCTAAGGAAAGACTTAGTTAAAGGATTCTGTGACTAAAATCCATAAATTTTGGATAACCTGAAGGCATAGTATTAGTTCTTGAATCATGGTAATCTTAGAAGCGGTTCTCTTATTTCTATTCACGGGATGATACTGGCAAGGAAGGGTATGGTCGTTCAGCAGGTGGACTCAACAGTAGGGTGAAACTAGAGCTTAACCTCATTTTATGAAATAAAAAAGAATATTCAGTATGGTGATTGGGGGTTGTGTAGCAGCTCTCATACCCACCACCCTTTTAAATCCAGTTTGTTTCATATACAGAATAGTTTTATAAAAGACATGAATAAAATTTAATGTACTTGAAAATCAATGAAAACAAATAGCTTGTGTCTCTTTTCTTCATCTGGTCCTGGATCAAGAGTATTATTTTAATGGCTGCTGACAACAGACTATCCATCTCATTTGTCTGAGTCCAAAACCCAGGTCAGACGTTTTTAAGCCATATGACCTTGATTGTTAATTGTGATTCTATTTGAATGAAAGATGGATTGTTTCAGAAATTCTTTGACTTGTATTGCTCGCTCTAAAAATGGTGGATTAAAATAGGACCTGACAAGAAATTAATACATACTTATGTGAGAAGCATTTCAGTACTTGTAAGTGTGCTTAGAATTTTACTGTCACCTCTTTAAATGTACATACCAAGATCAGCATTCATCCAGTAACTGTCCTGGCCTAGCTTTTTTTTTAAATAGTAACTTTGTTGAGATACAATTCATATACCATATAGATCATCGATTTAAAATGTACAATACAGTGGTTTTTAGTATATTGACAAAGTTGTGCAGCCATCACCACAACTGATTTTAGAACACCCTCATCACCCCAGAAAGAAACCTTGTATCCGTTAGCACACATTCTCCATTTCCTCCTAACACCACCCTTTCTCCCCACCTCCCCAACACTTAGACAACTACCAGTCTACTTTTGTCTCTAGAATTGCCTGTTCTGGGCATTTATATAAATGAACTCATACAATATGTGGTCTTTTGCAACTGGCTTCTTTCATTTAGCCTAATGTTCTCAAGGTTCATGTTGCGTGTATCAGTACTTCATTCCTTTTTATTGCTGAATAACATTCCATTGTATGGATATACCACTTTTTATTCATTCATTCATCAGTTGGTGGTTGGGTATTTGGGTTGTTTCCACCTTTGAGCTATTACATGCCATGCTGTTTCTTGAACATTTGTGTACAAATTTTTATGTGGGCGTTCATTTCTTTTTGGATATATACCTAGGAGTTGAATTGCTGGGTAGTGTGGTAACTATGTTTAACCTTTCGAGGAACTGACTATTTTTTAAAGTGGCAGCACCATTTTACAATGTATGAGTGTTCCAATTTCGCCACATCGTTGTTAACACTTACTATCTGCCTTTGATTACAGCCATCCTAATGGGTGTGAGCTGGTATCACATTGTGGTTTTGATTTGCATTTCCCTGATGGCTAATGATGTTGAGCATTTTTTATGTGCATATTGGCTTCTTGTATATCTTCTTTGGAGAAATGTTCATTCAGATCTGTTGCACATTTTTAAATTGGGTTGTGTATCTTTATTACTGAGTTGTAAGAGTTTTTTATATAGTATGTAGAAGGCATTTTACTGTGTTCATGTGCATCTCTCATAGGAAGCATCTCATTACAGATTCTCCACATGATGGGGGAGGGTAGCACACTGTATGTATAGTATGTAAAAACAAATCTTTTGAGAATCACTGTATCTTATTTGAAAGCTCCTGGGGGATATAAGCAATATCATTCATGGTTATATCCATAATGCCTGGTAAAATTCTAATGTGTAATAAATGATCAACAAATATGTATGTGTTTGGGGAGAGGTGGCTTTTAAAATTGAACACATTGAAACACGTAGGTTCAAACAATGCAAAAGGGTATACAATGTAAATAAATCTGCCCAGAAGCAGCCAATGTCAAGAGTTTTCAAGGTTTTCCATGCATATACAAGCATATCTGTATATTTGTTTTGCACAAAAGGAAGATCATAGTACATGACCTGGAGGTACCTTTTTTCACTTAGCGATATAGTTTGGAATAATTCTCCATCAGTGACTATAGATTTATTCCATTTCTTTCAATGGCTATGGTTTTCCATTGTGTATTTATACCATCATTGAACCGTCTCCCACTGATGGGTTTGCTATTAGAAACAAGGTTGCAACAAGCATCCTTATGTGTATGACTCTTTGCTTATTCTGTTTTTATCTATATGATAAATTTGTTAAGAGTGGAGTTTCTAGCTTAAAGGTTTCTGCATTTAAAATTTTGTAGATATTGACAAATCACCCTTTATACTCCCATAGACAAAGCCTGTGAGTATTTCTTCACACCCTCAGTCTCACTGGGTACTTGAAAACTCATCCTTAAAATTGATGGGTGAAAAATGGAATGGGTATATTTATTTCCTTTGCCCATTTTTTTTAGATTATTGGTATGAAAGATTTGGGGAACTTTGTATACTAAGGAAATTACCCCTCATCACATGTGTTCTGTATATTTTTCCTAGTTTGTCTTTTAACTTTGTGTTTTTATTTCTGTGCAGTGCTTTACATTTTAATGTAATTAAATGCATCAATCTTTTTGTTTATGGTTTCTGGTGCTCAATAAATATTGAATCCAGGGACAAGTACTGCTATTACAGTTCAATTCTGCTCTACAAATATTTGCCAAGTGCCTATAATGTGCAGAGTGCTAGGCTAACCGGTGTGGGGGAACATGGGTGAATATGTCACCATCTGGCTCTCGAAGAGAGCCTGCACAGGGCTCTCCGCTGCACAGGGGAATGACGTGAGCACCAAGCAGGAACAAGGGCGAACATCTAAGAGGGTGAGTAGCCTTAATAAACACAAAGAGGCACGTACACGTGGTGTATTTGGGGACTGGTCCTACTGATTGAAACCAAAGTATGTGGAGGGAGGTAGCAGGAGAAACAGCTAGACAGGAAGAACAGTTCACTTTGTGAAGGGCCTTGAACACTGGGCTTGGGACTTTAAACTTGGTTCTATACATAAAGGAAAGCTACAACAGGTTTTGAGATGGAGAGGGTCAAACCCAGTTTGTGTTACCACTGAGAGGTTATGACAATGATCCTGGATCAAGTAACTATCTGAACTGTTTTCCCCCATAAATTCTTGCCCAACTCTGATTCCTTCTCTGTACCACAGCCAGGGAAATCTTTCTAAAATGCAAATACAGTAATTTCCCTGCTTAAAATTCCCAAGACCTGCCCTTTGCCTCAGGATAAACGTCCAAATTCCTTCCCTTGGTTTACAAGATCCTCTAAGATCTGGGGACATTTACAAGAGTGCAGGCTTGAGGAAGTTGGGAAGATCCAGGCTCTGTCCTGAAGGACCTTACATTTCAGTGAGGGAGACAGAGGTAAACTGACTGTATCCCTTCCGTGTACGGTGTCTTCCTGCCACACTCACCATTCCCCGAACCCACGCTATTTCCTCAGCTTGGATGGCCCGCCCTCAAGTGCTGCCCTCGAAGTATCACCTGTCCTTTCAGGGTCAGCTCCTATGTGATCTCTCCGAAGCCCTTCTGGTACCCCTAGTCAGAGCGCATCTCGCCTCCTCTCCATTCCCCTCCCGTCTCCCGCCGTGGCGTTCACTTTGTGTACCCTGGGTGGCCGGGTACGTTGTTGGATGTGGTACAAATAGGCAAATAAAGTCATCTAAACATTCTTTTAATTTTTCACCTTCTGTTTTTATTTTGCAGAGAAAGAATAAGAAAAATGTTGCTTAAGTGTCAAAGGTTTTATTCTGAAAAGGAGACTAAAAGAGGAGTACTTGCTTTGCTTGTCTGTTATACACACAGGAAGGATTTTCAGTGACAGGATTCTGTTGTCGGTGAGTGTGCGGTCTGCCGCCTGCTCCCTCATGCTCCGCACGCCCGTCGGATTTCTCTCAGGGAAGCTGGGCTCTTCTGACAACTGGATGGAGCTGTTGCACTATTAAATGCAGTCTGTTTCGGAACACCTGCTTTCTTCTAGGGAAACTCTTAAATTACATTTAAAAATCTATTCGCCTACAAAAACTGTCACCAGTCTACAAAAGTTACCTAGGTCTATGCACTCAATTTTTCTGTTTCTTTTATCGCTTTGTTTAGAGACCGCAAATAAATTGGCTGGAGACCAACAGATTCCTTCGCCAGTCCTAAGAGTCCTCCCAAAGAAACTAAATAAAGCAAGGATCATTTCAAAGCATCGTACTGCTGTCTTGTCGGGGTGAGGGAAAGGGGGCAAGTTGCAAGGAAGCTTAGGCGAGGGGAAGAGAGAGGAACTGACAGAGGCAATGAGACTCTGAGGGAAAAGAGGAGATTGAGTCCATGAGTGCAGG